GAGGAGCAAACCCCATGTCGAGATCCCCTCGATTCATCCTTGATAGGGCGGACTGGGAACTCTTCTCTTCCAATGCAGAACTCACAGAGAACATGTGAATATGATGACTAAGTACATGGCAAAATGAGACATAAAATAAAAAATCAACATTAACCACTTGTGCTATGACTAAACTTCACAGTTGCGGTGCCGTGCGCTACAATATAACAAGCGGTAAAGTGTCTCATTTACACCACTGCGCATCTGCGAGTGCAATCCAGAACTGTAACTCGAGAAATAAACAATCTCATTGTTAGGCGATGTGTGCACCACGTTATTTTCATTTTTGCGATAAATGCCTATCGACGTGGCGTTCGCATAGTTCGTGGTTTGAGACAAAAGCATCTCGATGTGCGTGGCACATCTTTTTAGCTCAAGTGGTTAAGCTAACTGTTAGTAAAATGTAAATAAAATGTCCCTAATCTTCTTTCAAACTATTACTTATTTCAAACTATGTCCAACCATTATATGTGTAAAATATTTAATGCTACCTGATGAATTTTATAAAGTCGATTTTATTCTCGAATTTGTTTTATAGTTATGTTTATTAAATTATGTTTAATAAGAATGCGTCCTACTTATGAATCTATTTTATTCTTGGGTTATTACAGAAACAGAGTTCAGACATAAAGTTGATTGAATTTTAGTTGAATTTAATCAGATCCCATTTGCTGATAGGTCCTTATTTTTTTTCCATTAATGGTCCTTAAAAGTACTTAATTTCCATGTGCAGAAATGTTTACAAACTCTAATAGCTTTTCACATCTTGATGCCAGGTGTTTGTGTGGATTGATGCCAGATAACACTCTGTGGAAGTAGATGCTTCTGTCTGTAACATCTGGCCTGTACTCTTCCATTACTTTAATCCAGATTAGACTGAGCTTTCATCGGAGAAAACAATTTATTGTCATGCCCATTGAAATGAGGTACCTGTGATTCAACGACAGGAGAATCTTGCATAGAGGAACCCTTGCATGCAGTTCATGTTGCAGAAGACAGTGATGAACCTTGGAATTAGACAACACAGCACCTGTAACCATGCTTCAATATTGTGCTAACACACGAGAGGAGGCTGTACGATCTGTTACAACCATGTGAATGAGGTGTCTGTCATCCCATGCTGTTCTACTATTGAACGCCCTACTGCCAGGATTTCCCTTTATTTTGGTTCTCTTCTGTCCATTTCTTCCAAACACACATCACTGTTGTGGCATTATGCTGCATGCTGGCTGCAATTGTTCAATACGAAAGTCCACCCTCTGGCATACTGACAATACGGCCTTCTCTGAATTCCGTTAGTTGTTGGTATGGCACATTCCACTGTTGACAATGCACATTGACAACTAATTAAACACTTTATCATAATAAGATATCTGCTCACTGCAGATAGTGGACAATAAACAAATTTCAATGCAACTTTGCAGTCCTTTATACACATGGAACAAGCAACTGGTTTTCGTTCCATGCATCCACAGTCACTTTGTAATTCTAATCATTTGCATGTCTAACCTTACTTTATATTTCTTGTAAGTTTGGTTCAATTCGCATAATTCCTTCATGCTGTTGCAATTTTCACAAACATTAGTATAAATTATTGCATATGATAGCCCCCCAAAAAAGTTCTTTGTTGGCTTATTTTATTGATGATGTTTATTCAAGTTTGTAATTTAATTTTCTTTCTTTATTTTATTTTTTCGTATGCTTTCTAGAAGATGTTGCTCCCTCTCTCTTCTCTCTTACTTCCCCCTCCCAATTGATGTGAATTGTGAATGGAAATTAAGTTTCGGAATCTGTCTAAATTCACAGATGTAAAAAAAATCTCGTAGGCAAGTACATAAAAAGACATAACCTGTATATATATATATATATTTCAAAATTACATTATTTACATATCATAATTATATTATTATAAGATCATTGTAAATTTTTCAATTATGAATTTCAATTTTTGGTCTTTGAGAAATATTAGTTCTAAATTTCTTACTTTATGTCTTATATATATAGAGAGAGAGAGACTAAAAAAGTAACAAGTTCCGAACCAACTTTACAAAGATATGAAAGAAATTAAATTTTAATTTTATGTTATTTTGAAAATTTTCTTCTTATTTAGAAACACTAATGAACTTTTTTTTTACATTTTTCATTGAAAAATTTCATAACAGCATGAATTTTAAATTTAGTTTCTGTCATGTCTTTGTAAAGTTGGTTTGGAAGTTGTTATCTTTTTGGTGTATAATTAATTTTTCAGCAGCATGTTGTGCAGAAATGGTTTTGGGATATATTTTTTGAAAGAATTTTTTTAAATATATATATAACCAAAAAAGATTATTGCAGGCACGCAAATGATGGCGTCGGCATTTCCAGGTGAGGATCCCATCTGAGGATGGATAGTCATGTCATCAGATGCTGAAAGCAGTTTGTTGTTTTTGAAGTCTAAGGAAAAAATTTTATTACCTTAAAAAGTCCAATCCGAGTATACATGGATCTGTAATATCTGCCACATATGCCGTGGGGTAGTAGGCAGCACTTCCAAACATGATGTTCATGTTTAACTTCCCCGCTATGTCGATCTTATCACCAGATGCAGTCTGAAGGGTAACACAGAATGGCATCCAAATAAGTTTATCTTTAAATGTTGAGCTAAATCTCTCCGAGATGGCAACATTTTAGCACGTGTCAATGATCATTTTGCCAAGAACTCTATCGTACTCCCATTGATGGACGACCGTTACTGTGCCACTCACTTTAAAATCCTAAGTGCTTTAAAACAGTTTTCATTATGGCAACCTCCATTCCTTGATATGGTATAGTTGTTTCCTGCATCATTGCTGAGAAATGGTCAATTTTCATACCTTGGGGTTCGCAGTTCTTCGTATGTGGCCCAGCTCCACAGTTCCAGCACTTTGGTTTCTTGTTAATCCTTTTCCTTCGCATGGCATTTAATTGTCTGTTTAAATCGTATGCCGTATTTTCCATGCTCTGGGAGTTCTGCAGTTCCTTCGTATGTGGCCTTCAACACCGCAGTTCCAGCACTTTATGATTGGTTTCTTCTCACCAATATTTCGTCTTAAGGCATTCACTGGTCTTGTCAAATCATCCACTTTATTATCCGTGTTCTGGGGTGTTCTGCAATGCCGTCATAAGTGACTTCAATACCACATTTCCAACAGCTTTGTTCCACTTTGTTCTCACTCCTACTCTGTATCAAAGCATTGACTTCTCTGGCTAAATCATCTAAACGAGCCATCAACTGATCCACTGGCTCACGGACTGGCACTGACTCTGACTGGGTAGCGATCTCAACGAGTTGCTTGCTGGGCTGCCTCGAACTTCATGGCGTACAGCAGAGCGCTAATTATGTCCCTCACATCCGCCATTCACAGAGCTTTCTGTATATCAGGATTCCGGATGCAATCAATTAAGTATTGCAGAGATAGGATTTCCCTCGTTTCTCTCGGGCACTCCGTAAAGGCGAGGTGGGACGGCCTTTCAACATCCATGGGGAGTTCCTGGAGTGATTCGGTGGACTTCTGTTGACGGGTTTGTAAGGAAGCTGCGTAGTCTTTAAACATTTCACCAAAGCGCAGCTCCAATGCGCCGCTTGAGTCAGTCTTTGGTTCGGGAAGCGTTTGCAGGATATCCGCTGCGTCTGATCTCAGAGAAGTGGCGAGAACAGGCCTTGTTTGGGAATCCCCGCTTCGCATCCGCCACGATAGAAAATTGTTGTCCCTGCCAGGAGGTCTTCCCATCAATGTCGGATAGCGATACGCAGTGTTAGTTTAAAACCTTCTGGATTGCCCTGCCGTCGCTACGAATTCTTTAAATCATCAACCTCTTTGGTGACCAATACATTATATTATTGTGCCACAACAAAACTCTCTTCTATTTTCTTCTTTTACCGAAGAAACTTTTTTCAATGTTTCCAACTTTATTTTCAACTGCGTCAATTCTGCCTTCCATAACCTCGAATTTGTTTTCTATTTTGCAGGCAATTTCTCTTTTCATTTTGTATTGACTTTCTTCAATCTTTACTTGTATAGCTTTTATTTCATCTTTAACAGATTTCTTAACAACTTTTATTTCGTCTTTAAAAGTTAATTGACCAGCATCCAATTTCTTTTTAACAGATCTCATCTCTCCTTTAACGGAATCATCCATCTTTTCCTGGCTAGATTTCATCTCTTCTTTCATTTCTTCCTTTAAATGAGGCAAAGGCTGATATCAACTGCCTTAACTGCTCTTCCATCGCTCTTTTTATTGGCATTCAAATCCCACTTCTGACACCAAAATTGTTGCGTACGTACGGGTTCGTACGAAATCAATGCACTAGTCCTATGAAAAAATGAACAAAAATTCATTATTATCACAAAATATGCTTAAATTCCTAAATATTCGTGCAGTATCACAATCTCACAGTAGTTATCTTTTAACTACTCAAATGTTCAAGAGAACGTAACTCAAACAGCTAGAGAAAGTAATCCGCGAATTCGCAACAAGAGCAGTTTTCTAAACAAACTCTGAAAACAACAACCAACTAAGTAACTAACTAACTGAGAGGTTTTCCTCCTTTTATAAGATTTTAAAATCATGTGCAAGAATTTTCTAGTACTTTCTCGAAATCAAAAAGAGATATTTATTAAATGTTTAATGCACGCACTCTCGTATTTTCAATTTTCCGGCTTAGCTTTCTTTTAATATTTGTCGTGTGCTGCACTGCGCGGGAAATAAAACCATTTAATTTATAATTGAACTAACATTCGCTTTTTAAATACCAAATTCGTAACAATAATATATGATGTTCAAAGTATCTTTTGATAGTAATGATTTAAATTTTAATAAAAATGGATTAAAACTATGTAATGTAGTTAGCAGTGTGTAAATACATGTATGAATATTTACAAATGGCATTTTTTGAAGTTATTACTTGCATTTGGGAATTCTTATTTTAATCTTACAACTAGGACAAGAATTAGGAGGTGAATTTCCAGTTCAAGATATGAAAACAGGTGAAGGAGGTCTTCTCCAAGTGTGTATGGAGGGCGTAGGTCTTTTGTTTGCTAATAGCAAGGTATGTATTTTATGTTTATTAGATGTTTTTGTTGTTCAAATATTTCATTTAGTGTGGCGAAGAGTATTTTATTGTAAAGTGAATCAACACTTCATTTCAGAAAATGAGAATTAAAAGGGATTCTAGATATATTTTTCAATGTATAATTTGGCTGTTTTTTCAGAATTAAAGTCATGCAGAAAAGAAGTAGGCATTTTATTTTTATTGCTGATTCTTATTTTATAAACTGTATTTGGATTTCACAATATTTTTTAACATTTTGCTTTTTCAAGGCCATATATATGTAAATAGTGTCATTTGTATTATACCGTTTATGTTACTATTGTTGCATTCATTTTATTTGAATTCACATTTATTTTGCACTTTTTATGAATTTTGTTTTAGATTTTGTTTTGTTAAAATCAAGAAAATGTCAAAAATTTTACCACTTTTATTACATGTACTAATTGTATATCCTGGGTGGACTATGTTTAAGATTTTGGTTTCAGTCTTCAGTAAGTTTTGAAGAATTTTTGAGAAGCAAATTCTCCAGTTTTTGTGTGTCATAAAATATAATCATAAATTTTATAGTCTTGCTACTTGTACCTGTTCATTTTTTGAGGTTATTGATGAAAATTTTATTAACCATGGATTTTTTAAGTATGCAAAATAGAAAGTTTTATTGTTGAAGTAGATTTTTTTTTTAATTCATGTGAACTAAAAGGCTTTCAGAGACGCATATTTTAAGATGCATCTTTAATTTAAATATAATTGTGTTGTTTTTCCTCTGTATTATGTAGATGCAACAGACCTTCATATTTTTATTCAAAGAGCTAAAAAAGGTTTTGGTTTCAATGCTTTCAGTTTATCATAGCTTATTTTATAATATAGACTCCTAATTTACTTTTTAGCATTGTTAACTATTTTAATAATATCTGTTTAAAATAGTCATAAAGCAATGCTTACATAAGAGGTAATTCATAAAATCTAAAATCTTTAGCATAGTATTGGCTAAATGATTTTAAATAATTTTATAGGAAGGGAAAATCGGAGCAATAGGAATTCAAAATATTATTTGAATGGAATATTTTTTCGTACTAAGAATTAAAAGAAAAGTATCCCTTTTTTACTACAAAATATTTTTTATATCTTACAAATGAATATTTCAAGGGAAGGAGGACATTTTGAAGTTTTATACTGTGTTTATACAAAATAAGTGAAGGAATATTTTTTATATCTTACAAATGAATATTTCAAGGGAAGGAGGACATTTTGAAGTTTTATACTGTGTTTATACAAAATAAGTGAAGGAATATTTTTTATATCTTACAAATGAATATTTCAAGGGAAGGAGGACATTTTGAAGTTTTATACTGTGTTTATACAAAATAAGTGAAATACAAAAACTTTTTACCTTGTTAATAATAGCCTAGTTTGTAGTACTATGCTTGCTTTACAAAATTGGAACATTCTTCTGAAATCTTTCTTGAGTTGAAATGACATAATATGCAGTTATCATAATTATACATAGGAAATATTTTTCAACATCCCCATGCCACCATTTTATATAAGGAAAAACATATTAAAATTAAAGCTAAAACAAGAATGATGTGATAAACTTGTAGTCTAAATAAACAGAAAAAAGCATAATGTTGTTTTAACTTGTTTAAAATTTAGATGACAGTAAAATATACTTGGCAAACTTATGGGTTGTGGCAGTTAACATATTGTTTCATAAGATAGTTAGTTGTAAGGGATACAAGTTAATACTGTTTAAGAAAAAGAAAAGTAAAATCATCCAGGTAATGCCTCATCATTTATATCCATCAGGGGTGCCTAAGTCATGTCAAAGGTTGAGGTTTTGATGTAAAAACATTTGAAATATGCTTGACTGCTTAGAATGATACATTTTTGCTTTTGTACAGTTTTTCGTCAACATTTCAAACTTAAGTAAAAAATTTTTTCAGATTCATTTCATTAACTAGAAAAGGTATTAATCTAGATCTTTTACAAAAACAAATCATAATGAAGAAAAAATTTTATGTATACATATATAATGCTCTTATCATAGAAAACCTGAATCAAAGCTAAATTACATGTTAAGCAGTTTTAAAATGTCCTTTGAAATAAGGATTTATTAATATTAGGCAATGGAGATGTTCAATAATTTATCATTTACAAGCAGGAGCTATTTACTGCATAATTACAATAACTTCCAAATAGAAGTCTCCATTGTCAATTCTTTCAGAAGTATGATTTTGTTTATTAGCTTAAAACAAGTACTAATATTTGTGTGCATTAATTAGAAGTAACTAAATGTAGCTTTTATTGAATTAAATTAACTGAATTATTCAAGGCATACCTTCAAAGATTCCTCCCCTTCATATATTGTATTTTTTGTTATAACCTATAAGGAATAGATAATATTTTAATATTATTTTTCTAAAAATTGGCCTTCTGCATAATGTGTTTATGCATAGTTAAAGCACAATCTTTTGTAAATTTTTAATGTTAATAATAAAGTATTTAATTTCTGAGTAAAAGAACATAATGTGTTTTCGTTTGAGAAAGAAAAAGCTAATAATGCTAATGAAAAAATTTAATTATGCAATCTCTTCTACTTTTCAACTGTTTCATTTTGCAATTAGTTATAAGCAGAATGATTTGTAATTTAACATTTAAAATTTACTTATTTTGGATTCATATAAGAGATTCAAATTTTCAAGCATTAAAGTACAAAAGTAAGTTACGTATAATTTTGGGAAAGGTCAAAATTTAAATATATATATATATATATATATGATAAAATTATGTATGCATATATATTATTGCAATATAAGGAGTTATAAATTTCGGGCATTTTGATATAAGTTCTTAAATAATGTTAAAAATACTGCATTTAGTTATACTTGTGCAGTATTAAAAGAGTAGAATTATAATGTGCCTAACAGTCAAAAATAATATTTGCTTAACTGAATGGCCAACTATATTCTCTGTCAGTATAATATTACTGATTAAGTAATTTCAAAATGTATGCTAATATGCAACTTCTTCTTATTACATTTGAAGTTTTATGAATTGTGATTGTTTTGAAAGCATACATATTTCTTCATTTTGAAGATAAATGTGCAAATAAATCTGCTTCTTCAGTATATTATGATTAGTTTATTTCATTCATATCCTGTTCCATCTGTTTGGAAGAATCTTGGAATGATGATTATATAAATTTAAACTGCAGTAGTGTTTCATTTCTTATTTCCAGTTAGGAACATTTTTTATCTTATTTGTGATAAACCTATTTATATTTTCTTTTTGTGGCTTTCTAATTTTCACAGCAAGGACCTTCTCAAAAATCCTGTGGCTTGCCTGTCCATTTTAATCTGTCACATAATTAGATCAATCCTATATACCAATACTATTTATATTGACACTTTTTAACTGAAACCAGCTGCCCTATATTTTTTATACCTTCTGCAGCTGATGCTCTGCCTCTGTGCTCATGTAATTTTGTCACGCTGCCTTCGTATGTTTCATATCTCTGTGACTTCCTCCTGATGCGGGTTACGCATTTACTTACTGTGCTCCAGCATTGTTACTTACTGGACTACTTACCTACTTCCGCCTTACTATTTTTGGAATGGACTGACTCATGCATGCCCTTCGAAACCTGCTAGTTCAGTATATATTATTAATACCTGACCTATAACTTGTCCTTCACAAACATCCAGCAGTAGCAAGCGAAGGGGCTTTTGAGATGGTCCAAAATGTGAGTGCGAAAAGTGATTAATTTGTATACTGTCATGTGACCTGATCGCCCTGATAAACAGTTCTCTAAGGAAATGTTTTTCTTTTGCCTTCTCCATGCCTACTAACATCAACACCCGAAGGACTTTGAGGTATTGCGGCCCTTCATTTTTTTGTGTTGCTGTGTCTAGAGCAGTTTGTAGTTGATTTTAACTCTAGACCATAATATAGTAGTGCACCATGTATCAAAGAGGGCTTGACTATTATGCAGCCTTGTTTAATCTATGGGTAGATTTTATGATCAACCCGCAGTTGTTGTGCACAGAATTCTGTTAGTTGAGCAGTGCAGTCATTGCTAACAGCATGATCTTATGTTGTTTTAGTTTTGTAGTTTACATTTTGATTGATTGTTATTTGACCATCTCCAAAGTTTCTTCCTGGCACTTCCCTTCTGCTTGCATGATGCATGATTCTCGCTTATTCCATCTTTATACCTTCTTCTTGCATGTGTGCTTTTGAAGCTTTGGAGATAATTGGCTGTCTCCAAAACTATCTGAGCTTATTTCTTAGTTGGAATGGCATGATGTGCATGAACATGTGATTTATTGTCAGTGATAAATCAAGTGTGGTTTACTTGTGTAACTGTATATATGTGTGTGCATAATACATAATTTTTAATGCTTTTTAATACATTGTGTTTGCCATTATGTAAATGTTTGGAACTGAAATAAGTTTTAGTCAAATTTCTGATTTCTTCATGATATGTATTTTACAGTACAATTAATGCTGTATTCAGACATAACATGTGTTTAGTATCATAATACATATATTCTATATTTTTATATGATTATAGTTAGATATATAAAAAAAATATGGAACTGTTGCTAGTCAGTATTTTGTTAAATGCTCTTATTCAGAAGTGTTTTATAGATGCTATTGTTTTTTACTATTCCTTTTCAGACTGAAAGTATATTAGTGACTGTCATTGTGGGCTTCTATCTTATGTGCAAAGAACTATTTAGAAATTTTAATTTTTTAGATTTATAATTCTGTTTTTCAATTAAATTCCATATATTTTTCATCTAATTTTAGCTTTTTATTTTATATTAATATTTAAAAAATAAATAAAACTGTAATTTTGAAATTTGTAAGCAGACAACTTTTAAAATTGATCACTATTTTAATTTTGTTCATGTTAATAGTCCTTCTTCAACATAGTGAGATAAAAAGGATTATTAATATCCTAAAACATTAATTTTTAATTTAAAAGAATTGTGATTCAGTAGTTAAATGCATATCTTAAAGACATTTATATTTTAGGTAATTGTCTTTTTATTGTATTTAAATTAAAATGTTGACCTATTTATCTGTCCTTTAAAAGAAATTAAATTATTTCACCATTTAAATAAGCATTCAGTTAATTTTCATTCATTATTGAATTATATTTTTGAAATAGCTTTTCTGGTTTTCAGTTCATAGTGTTTTAGTCGTCTGGATTATGAGTTAATCAAAATATTCTTCCATTTGTACAAATAAAATATCATTGACAGACATTGTTATTTTATTTTTACACTGACATCAAAGTCTTGAGAGGATGTGCACTATGGAGAAAATGTTTTTTTTCTCCCTTAATTTATTGAAGTTTAATATTTTTTTTATGTTATCTGGATTTAGATATCATGCTAAGAATATGAAGGTATGATATCTCAAGATATGCAGCATTTTAGAACGTAACTATCTGTCTTTTTGTATATGTCATTATATGAAATTATGTAATATTTAAAGGTATGAAATACAAGTTTCCTTTCCAAACATATACTATTATTGGGCTGTTGTGTTTGTGAATTAATATAAAAGAAAGTGAGAAGAACAAAGTTTTTTTGTTAAAATAATAAAATTCATTTTCAGCTAATTCCATCAGGCTTCATGAATTTATGACTGGATCAGGAAAAATGTTATTTTATTAGACATACAATTACTAACATACTATTTCATGTTAATTCTAGTCCTTATTTGTGTATAAAAGTGTTAATTGAATTAACATATACATTAAATGCTTAAGATCCTTCACTCAAGTGGGAAAGATATTCTTGTTATTACAACAATTAAAATCTGAAACTAATTTCTTGCCTGAATTGATGCTAGTTTGTAATATCAATAGAATAAATTTACTTACTTGGAAAATGATTTCATCATGAAAAGATCTAAGATTTTCATTTTCAAAGTTTCTCATCTTTGATCTTTTACCTACTTCCTCAAATGAATTTTTAAAACTTTCAATAAAAATTAATAAATCTTTAATTAATATGTTTTTATTTCCTATAAACTCAAAACTAATTTCACTCTGGTTCAAATTATATCATCATAGTTTGATTTAAATTATTATAAATACTTTCATTTAATGGTTTCTCGTGATGTAAATTTGATTAATAGTTAAACTTTTTTGCAAAATAAAACCTCATTTTGATGCTTTTCAGTATATATATATGTATACATATTGAAAAAATCAAAATGAGTTATTATATATTTGTGTGTGTATGGTAAAGAATGTAATTTTCTTGTGAATAAAAGTTAAAGTGGTAGACCTTTAAAATAAAATTAAATTAGCATAATAAACATATGATCTTTGTGTTCAATCAAAAAACGTCAATACTAGATATAAATTATTTAAATTAGAATAAATTGTCTTAGTTATTAATTGCAAAATAAATTCACAGTTCCCAAAATTAATTTATTCTAGAATGCAAAACAACTTCAGATGGTAATAAAACATTATATAAATGAGAAAGTAGGTATCTCTGTTCTGATTATTGAACTGTGTATTATCAACATTAAATGAGATAAAGAAAAATTTGTTACAAAAAATACGGAAAATTTTTAAGTATGATAATACCCTCATCAGTAATTATTTATATTTGATATAATGTATTAGTTATGTTAATTCCTTGCATTATGCTATTAAGTTGTAATCTGATTGTAATTTGTTGTACACAGATTAAAAGTTTCAAACTGTTGTCAAATAGCTATAGGTCATCTTTATTCATTGTAAAAATAATATCAAGGGTCCTTTTCATGGTATTTTCTTAATATAAAACTGCAAATGTATAATGTATCAAATTATTATAATGTCTGTGTTGATATATGTTAATTATAAATCTTGGTGCAGAATTGAAATCACTTTAAATCATAGCTGTTTATTTTAGTTTTAAATGTGTTCGTATTATGCTAAATTTGTTTATTTTATATACTTTGCAAACATAGATTTTAATATGAAAATAAGAATGAATGTATTAAAGTATGTAATTTATGTAATGATTGAAAACTGGGCTTTAACAATAATTCATTGTGAACTGAAATTTAAAAGCAGAGAAAGAAATACTACTGTTGAAAAACTTCTTTACAAGAAACTTAAGCGCATTTTGAAAAAGGTGTGTTTCAATCTTTGTCTTTTGGGAAAGAATGCATATATAAATCTTTTACTTGTAAGAGGGGAAATCTTTGAAAAGTACTTTTTATGCTATATTACATAATTTTTTGATAAGTTCTGTTGTTCTTGATGCTGGGGTATTTTATATTTTATATATTTCTTTGTTTGTGTATCCATTTTGTTGAGAGTTGCATGTGTAATTATCAGTGTTAGCAATGGCATTGGAATGTTGCCATGAAAGGTAGCTTCTGAATAAATATATTTTGGTTTTATAATTTCTAAATAGATTACTCTATAAAGTAGGAAAAAACGGTTAAATATTCTGAATGCATATTTTGATTCTTATCAAATATTTGCAACATAGCATTTGTGATATTCTTTTTTAAATTGTGAAAGGTGCATTTTGAAACTAAAATGATGCACTGATAAATTGTAAATAAAATTTACTAAAAAATATATATAGTTTTATCTTCTTGTCAGAAACATGATTTTTTTAATCATAGCTTTAAAAAGGAATACATTTTCTAATTTTTTTTTTTTTTTTTTTTTTAAACAAACAGTGAAACTTTTGTTAATTATTTTATCTTAGTTTATAGCTAAGTTGGAGAGTATTTATATGTGACAAGTTTAAGTAAATGACAAATTACCTCTTCCCTTTTAATTTTCTGCCCGAATATTAACAATCACATAATTATTCAGTTTCTTCTTTTTTTAGAAGTTGTAAGTTTTGGAAGAATATATTTTTAAAAGATTCTATTGCCTATCTTTTCAGTATTTGTTTTTACTATTGCTTAATTATTATTTTGCCAGTTATTTTCAAGTAATATTTTTAACTGTATTGTACACAAATGTTTCTATGCTTTAATGTGTTTAAATAGGAATGATTTTTAATTTATTCCATATATCTGTTTGTAATAACAAACAGAAATTTCTGCCCCCCCCCATGTGAAACTTAAAACTTTCAAACTTCAAAGCATAAATTCTTGCTTTGAAATATAACAAAATTTGCAGCTTGTTTCTTTTCTTGGCATAATTTATTTACTAGCTGAAATATTGCATATGTTATTGTATGTTTTAGATATTTTTTTTTCATTTGTCTGTGCAATAAAGTAAAAATTTTGGATAATCATCTGGTACGTTAAAAATTGACAAAATTCAAATTCAGTGTTGAATAATTTAGAACAGAACTCCAGCATTTGAAAAGAAGTTCTAATACTTTTCGTTAGGAATAAATTATTACTTGGTTTATTATTTATTATTTATAAATTTATAATAATTATTACTTGGTTTATTAATTATTTATATTATTTATAAATTTATTTCTTGGTTTTGAGTTGTGCAATTTTCCCAGGCTGCTGGATAATAAAGCTGATTCTACACTATTCAATAGAGGACTTGCATCAGATTGTCTTCGAAATGCTAAATCTTTTCAATTAAAATCCGTGGCAAATTAAAGTTGGGTATTTCACACTTTAATATTCAAGTTGAATATTTTTCTTTTAGCCAAAAAATAATTAAAAATGTGTGTTTGTGAAATTATGCTGAAAACATGTATAATATTTAGGTATAAAAATAAAAGTTATTAATGGTTCATGATTTAAACGCATGTTATGCATAGTCATTTCTTCTAAACATGATGTTGCAGCTTGACAATGCTTGATTTTGGATTTTTTTAACATATGGTTTCTTCAAAGTATTATTCTATAACATATTAGTTTTTATGATTCCTCATACTGAAAACAAAACAGCAATAAAGAAATTTCATTTCATATATTCACAATGTAAACATAATTCATGTTCCATTTCAGTCTGTTTTTGTTGTCAGTTAATTAACATGGGAGTTTTCAGTTTCATACTAATTGGTAATGAGTTATTTTCTTTAAAAAAAATAATTTGCAATTTGATTGTCCTGAAAAGTAGATGTTAGTTCTTCGCAGTGTAAACAAACAGGAATGTACATTTCACTTATATTTGTAACTAGAAGGAAATAGATTGCCCATATTCCAACCCTAACTAAATTAAGAATATGATGGTATTATTGAGGTGATGAATTGTGAAGGTAAAAGTGTGACCATAAAATATTTTTTAAAAACAATATAAGGTTTTTTTTTTTTTTTTTTTTTTTTTTTTTTTTTTTTTTAGTGCAGAATAATTGTATAGTCCTGTTTAATAGATAAACAAAGCTGACCCAGCCTCCATGCAAAGCCATTTTATTAAACTGCATTTTTATTTTTGCCTTTTGTATATATTTAAGTTGTTTGCTGTGAGCAATTTAATATGTTTAACCAAATATATTATTTTACTGCTATGTGCATGATATCACTCACAGTTTTATGTTTCAGCACCTATTATTTTGCCTTTTGCATGAAAGTTATGTTTTTGTATTTTGAGTTTCTTTTTTTATATATGTTGCTGGATGATTTTGTCAGTGCATCTTTTTAAATGAAAAAAAAAAAAAAAACTTATTTATAATTTCATATTGTGTTTTAAAAAAGTATAGCCGTACATAACTTTATTATTTTTATTTCATAAATTTGTAGTAGACTGTTTTATTTTATTTTGTTAATATCTAAAGCTATAATACTTGCAAGAAAGAGGCAGAAGCAGTGATCGGGATAACCATTACAATGAATGACTTCTTACTTTACAGTTCTTTGTAAGGCTGGAAAACATAAGGAAGTGTTTCACCCAAAAGGGAGGGATGTTTGTTCTGGAAGAGTTTAGTAAGTTGTCATGTAGTAAAAAAATACCTAATAATCTGTTTCTTTCTTCTGCTTTCCATATACCCCACCTGGGAAAATCTTTTTAGACTTGTTGTCTGTCATTCGTTTTGCTGCATTTCACATCCATCCAATCTGGCCGCTCCTTGCATGTTGTCGTGTCTCCTCTCTCCTTTTGGATTGGAATGCTTGCATCTTGTGTTGTGATGCTATTTTAAACAAACAAACAAAAAAAGTTGTTTCTTTTTCTTACTTTTCTACTGTTGTACATCTTTACTTATTACCCTGGTTTATGTGACATACCTTTTCTCTACAATAACTTATGTGCACATTTTCAAGCATTGTTCTACTTTTTGTTCTATGGTGTCATGTCTGAATGTTCTCAATTTTTTTTAAGAAAGTATAGTGTAATGATAGATTTAAACAAAGGTTGATTATTTTTTTAACTAGGCATAATTTATAAAAAAGAAAAGAAAAGAATGAAAAAACCTTCTTATTTGAGAAAAATAGGTCTGCATTCATTTTGGTTTCAAAATAATTTGACATTATTTTACTCAGATCAACGTATATTTTATCCACAATGTATTTTGATGAACACCAAATGTAATGTAACTTTTATCTGAAAGTTGTTACACAGTATCACTTAGTTGTGTGTTTATATAGTATCACTTTTTGAAACATATTTTAAAACAATGCATAATAACATTTTCTTTAAGGTAATAATAAAGTGGGAAAGAAAAAGCATATTTAAAGCACATGTGGTTTTATTTTATTTTATTTTTTTTTTTAACTATTGACACTATATATTTCTCTATTTTTACAAAGTTGTAAAAACATGTGATCATTCGGCAGTTTTTTCCCACGTATTTCTTTTTTTATTATTTGGGATCTAAAGACTATTTGGAAATAAACTAGACTTTATATTTAATTTTTAATTTAAAATGTTCTAATAGCTTTATTTAATTTGAATTTGGAGAGAGAAGCATATTAAAAATATTTGAAATTTTTTAAATATCATTATACATTATGTTAAGAATTTCTAAATTTTAATTTTCATGACATTTCTGTCAGTTGTTCTCTAATTAATTATATTGTAATATGTTCTAGTTAAATACTCAAATTATTCATGTTAATAACTTTATGTTGTTGAAAACTTTATGTTGAGCTCATTTGCTATGCCAAAAGGTTCATTATTTATTGTTTACAAAATTCTAAAATAAATTTATATTAAAAAGTTCAAAGTATAGAAATTATGTATATTTAATATCAGGCATATTTATACACTTATATATGCACAGTGCATCTTCCAAGTTTTAGGACTGAAATTTTTCAGCTAATTCTAGTGGCAGTGGTTATAAAACATCTCAATTCATTTTCACTGAAATATCATCCATTTATGAAATGAAGTTTAAATAAAATTCTTTACTTGCTATTATGCAGCCAACATTTGTTATTTTATATATGATGGCTGTATGATAAGAAGGTATTTTTCATATCAAATCTCCCCTTAAAGGACACTATTTTATGCGATAAAAAAAAAAGATGTGACAAAAAATTATTCCAAGATTTGGAGTACTACAAAACTATCCAAGAGCTTTGTAGTACTTGGAATCTTGGAATACTTTTTATCACATCTTATCATCTACAAAGCTATCCAAGAGCTTTGTGGAGAATATATATAGAAGAGTATAGAGGAATATATATGTAGTTGACAGTTGACTAAAAAGTGCTGAAGGTATTTTTGGCAGATCTAGACTTTTTATGCTTTCAAATCTGAAACTTTGTAATTGCATTTTGAGTTATATATATATATATATATATATATATATACACACACACACACACATATACAAAAATTCGTATGCATAATATTCTGAAATTTTCAGTATTTCATACATAACATATATAATGTACAAATAACAATCATTGAAAAATAATGTAATTTTTAGTATTAATACATACTTTATTTTTCTGCGTATTTATTAATATCAAGTAAACTTCTATTGGGCATTATTTCCTGTTGCTGTGTGAATTATTAAAAACATATATGAGCATTGCAATTAAACATTTTAAAACGTAAACTAAAGAACTTAGTTATAACTTAGCAGCTCGAAATCATTTTGCATGATCTTTCAAATGTTTTGTTTTCTAAGACAGAAGAGAAACATGCTAAAATAAAACATAAAATTAGCGAAGCTTGTGTTTGGTGGAGATTTTAGTCAAAACTCTATCAATTTTGAGGGCAAACAGGTACAGGTGCCTCTTCATCAAGAGCAAAGAAATCTACAATGAAGAGAAAGCCACAGTTGTATTTATGTGTAAAAGGAGTAAAATGAATTAGAAGGCAGCACCATCTGTTGTAGATTTCTTTGCTCCTAATGAAGAAGAACCTGTACTTGTTTGCCTTCAAAATGGATAGACTCTTGACTAAAATTAAGCCAAACACAAGGATATTGCTTTGCTGATTTTACATTTTCATTTTATTTGCTATAAATTTGATTTATGATACAGTTGTTGTTACATGCACTTCAGCTAATCTGTTTAATTTATGTTAAGCATTAAAAATTATTCCTTTTTAAAATATATGTAATTTATACTTAGGAGTATATGCAAAGTGGAAAAATCTTCCTACAAAATTTGTTAAAATAAAAGGTTAATTTTTTTAATTCCTATTGTAATCAATTCAATTTCATTTAAACTCTTTTTAAAAAACGTTTTGTGTATTGTGTAGTGATCTCTTCTCCCCCCTCACCAAATAATAATTTCAGGGCAAGTGTAGTTAAAATATTATCCAAGTCAAGAACCTTTTTCATTGCATTTTATGGAAAAGTACTTTTTTAATATAAACATTATTATACTGTCTTTATGTAGTTGTGGTTATTACTAAATACTTTATTTAAAGCATTGTAATAATGTAACTATTAATTTCTGAATTCTTTCTTATACATGCATTTTAAAATATCATTCACTTGAACAATATTCAGGTAATAATCAGTATTTTTAGTAAATACATAACAATATTAAATCATTCATAATATTAATTTGTCCCATTCTTTGCATTAAATGATTTACACTTAGTCCCCCCCCCCAATGATTAGTCAATTGCACCTTGAAGTAGTATGAAATGTGATGTAACTAAAATTGAAAGTTACATTTCACTTTATGAAAATGCAGTGTTGAAAAGTAATATTTTGCAAAATGTGTGACAATATTTTTCTTTGAGCTGCATGGGTTATTGGCTTAAAGGAGATGGCATCAGTCATATACAGAGAATTTATGTTTTAGTTATGAAAGAGACAGTTACAAAAATGTTTAAATTTTCTTTATTATGGTCTTTTTTTCACTTGAAATTAAAGCTCTTCTTTCTTGAAAGAGTATCTTATGATTACACGTGAATTTGTGCCCTTTTCCCCCCTTCCCTGAGCATGCTTTTTAATTGAATTTATTCCCTCAGTGTTTTATCCTACTTTCTTTTGTATGTAGCTTTGGTTTCTGCATCTCTGTGCTGGTATTATTTCGCTTAGTAAAATGCTAAAAAAAATTTTTTTTAATGATTATATTTACAAACAATGCATAGTTTCATTGCAATAAGAAGAGTTTAAAAAAAGAAGGGAACATTTTAAATTGCTAAAAAAATTAATAATAAATAAAGTAAAATTCTAGTCCTTTTTAAACTTTTCATATAATTTATTTTTCTGAAATTTTCTTCTGAATTTGTTTTACTATCATTTAATGTAAAAAAATTAAACTTTAATTTTTATGTTAAAACAGATTTGATAAATGTGATAAAGGAGAATTTCTTTCATTTTTCCTTGGGGAAATCAAATTTTATGTCACTAAAAATAAACTATCATTAGTCCTTTACTTTTTCTCGTGATATATGTATGAGTAGAATCCAATAGCATTAGACTTTTATATTCAACAAATTAGACTTCATATATATATTATGCATTCAAATTAAATTGGTTAATATTTTTTTGTTTTAAAATACTGAAGAGTTTTTCTTGAAAATTGTGTTGAAATTTCTTTTTCCAAATTTATACATTTGAAACCTTATCACTATAGAGTGTGTTTTCAGGGCATCTATTTTCACACTGTTGCATTATTTTCTCTTAAAAGTATTTGTGTTTTAAAATATGAGATTTCTCATTCCTGTTTTTTTCTAAAATTTGTGCTGAAACATTATTTCTTGTTTAACATGTTTAACATTGCTTGAACATAACATGTTACTCTAAGTAAAAGTGTAAAGGGAACTTATTGAAATCTTAATAGTAGTTCCCATTTTTCAATTTCTAATTTTCATTTTTATATATTATTTTGTATTTGTCTGTGCTGTAGTTTATATTTATTGCTTAATGTTAAGAAGTAATGTTTAGAATTTGTTTCTTCCAAACATTTCATTATGCATAGAAATTATTTGCATTCTTACAAAGTTTTAATATTTGTTCCAAGTCAGTGATATTCATTTATTGAATTTTAATGTCACTTCTATAAAAAACAAAAGTAATGTTTCAATTCTGAGCTGATATGCTGATATGGAATCTAGTGATTAATTTTTCTATATATCACTAAAAGGCCTCTAAAATTATAATCTGTCTTGTGTCTTTTTGCATGAAAATCTGTGTGATATTCAGTGTCTAAATGTTTTATTAACTCCTTCTGGAATGTGCATGTGCATGTTATTTTACTTCTAAATGTAACATTGGAAAAAAAAAAAAAGAATGTTTCGTACTTGTTCTGCAATATCTGTCTTGTTTCAGTTTTTGTACTCTTTGTGTGTTTAAAGATTCCATTAATAGTTTATAAAATTGTGCTTTTATTGATAATATTTTTAATATTACTAAATATATTGTTTTGATTCTAATTCATGAACAGTAAACTGAATAATATATAATGTATAACTGATGCTATTAGAAATAACATGTTAGGAAATGATAAAATTACCAATCATTTCATTAGCTGAATATTTAATTTTTTTGTTTGCATGGTTATATAAGATGTAAGAGCTCTTTTTTTAATATATATATAAAAGATATTTTATATGAACTAGATTATAATTTGTATATTTTACCACATTGCAAGTGTTACCAGATTAAAGATTGTTTTACATTATCTTTTTAGTGAGTTCTGTATGTATTGATTGTATAATATCTTTTTCAGACCCCAAAACTAGACAAGTAATTCAAAGGAAATACAAATCATCTATGGTAAGACATGTGAAATGTTTTCTTTTAATTTGATCATTGCTATTAATACTAATAATTAGTGCTACTTTTTCTAAAATAGTATGCCTTGTAATTTTTTTCCAGTGTTAATTTTTTTGAAGAATTATACATAATACAGAGTGTATCCAATTTGCACTTTTTTTTTTCCCCCATTATAAAATGTAAAAACATAATAAGATCTTTTAGGGTTTTTATAATACATATTAATACACATACCATAAACTTACAAATGTTCAGTGGGGGAGCATTTTTTACATAGCATGCATTGATTGAATTTCTGTGTTAAAAATAGTAGCATGCTTACAATAAATCTCACTAAAATGCATCATTTCAAAATTAATTCTTGTTATGTGGTTCGTATGTAATGCAAAAAATCTTAAAGAGTGGGTGCTTTTCTTCTTCCAACTTATGTTATGTATATGTCTGTTTTGAGAATATTTTGTCAATAATAGTAAATTCTGAATTGGCTATGACTGGACTCTTTATGCAGTTGCATCATTTCTACTTTAGCCACTTTTTAAATATTACAGGTAATTCACTTTAGTCTCCACACTGACAGCAACAACAATATTGCATTTCAAATCAGGTAAGTTTCGAGGTAATGGTAAAATGTATATTAGATCTTTTGCGCATCCCCACAGAAACATCCAACCTCTTCATATAAAATGCAGAGAGTTCACTGTCTTGTTTGCCAAATGCGATTTGCTAGCTCATTCCATAGTTAAGAGAGAAGCCAGATTTGGAGGGAAAATATTGTCCGTAACCGTTTCCCTTTTTAAAAGAATGGCTCAAAACTTCCCAGTTAGACATTGTGGATGAAATTGTAACTTATGAAAAGTTCCTTTTATGTAGGTACTTCCTTTGTCAACATGGATATTATGTGTATTTACTTTACAAGTAGGGTGAAATAGTGATTCATCATTAAAAATAATATGACCTAAGAAATTTTCCTCAGCTATTCCTCACGTCTGCATTTTGAATATGAAGTTGATATATAACACTTCATTAGCAAGCTTTGGGTTGTACTGAATCTACAGATAGAATGAATTTGGAGTTACTCTTTTTATGCTTTCCATATGGTCATGCCTGATCCATACATACTATTAATTGTTTTAGACTATATGCAAAAGACATTCTGACACTTTTGATTGTTATGTATAGTGCATTTTCATAAGCCTCCCATCACTCAGAATTGTTTGTATAGTACAAAGTGCGAAATCCGTTCATCCATTATCTGGAATGATCTAAAATCTGGACCTCAAAACCACCACCACTGTTTTTTCTCGTAGGTTTTACGCATGCGCGTTTGATTCCCCCCCCCCTCCGCGCATAATAAAACATCTGGAGAATTTCGCTTCAACACTAAATAAAATACCTTGCTACTGAAGAAACAATAATTTTAGCATAAATTTGTGCGATCAGTAATTTAGCTCTGTTGCTGCATATCTGTTTTGGCACATAACTCAAAACAGAAACATTCCACATAGATACATCGTTGATCTGACGAATTATTATTTATTATACTTTCCTTTCATCACCGCATGTTTATCAAAACATGACAACTTGAATAATAACTCATGTAGCGATGCCTAAACAATTTTTATGTTAATAATTGAATAATAAAGGAGTATGGTAACCTTTTACATTGACATTACGCTTGGCGATGATTACAGATTTAAGTTAAATGCGCTAAAAAATGTTGACGAGGAAAAATTTACCTAAAATTTCTTTCCATATGCTAAAAGTAAATTTTGTTGATTATACTTATAGACCCAAAGATTACATTTAGGGCTATTTGAATTAAGAATAGCTGATTTGTTATTCACATAAACCCAGAGCCAGTCGAGTCACAGAATTTAGGACCCACAGGCGGTAAGATAGCTAGCACTGGCGCTCTATAAGGCTTAAGTGTATGTGGGAATTTATTTATTCAGAACTCTGATAAGCCTTAAGCATGTGCAGGAAATAGACATAAGTATAATAAATAACTAATACAATTCAGGCTTAATTGTCTGAGTGCACGATAGAAGCAAGATAAAATTTAACGGAACAACTTGTTGTTAGTCCCCAAGCTCATGATGCATGCAAGCATATATAGTGAAGGATAGCTAAATTTGATTATGATAGCCGCTAATTTTAAAGGTTTTCAGATATCGCAAAACAAATGTGAAATTTTCCAATTAACGGATTTTGTAAAGAAATGTGGAAAAGTAGTAATAAATGAAGATGATATAAAAGAAGTTTTTCATTGTGATTACAATACTTCTCAATCATCAATCAATTAATGAATGGCGAAATCTGTAGTATGGTTTTAGATCCAGAAAGTACCGCTACCGATAGTGAAGGAAGTGACAGAGAAGTTACTGAAACAAGAAAATTTCGATTGACAAGTTAGTCGGAATTCTCGAAACAGCAATTGCAGGATTTCAACAATGTAACTGAACAAGATATTATGTCTGTCTCTGGAATTAAAGAAAATGTATTAGTACAAAAAACGAAGCAACTTAAACAACTTGCATTGAAAGAAATGTTTAATAAGATAAACAAATAAACATTAAGTTTTTATTTTGATACCCTTTATATCATAAATACTTTATTATTTCATAAATCACGATTTCATATTTTTAGTTTTATAATTTCTACATGCCATCTTACTAGATTTAAACTTATGATCTAATATCCAGAAAAATCCCAAACCTGGAATCGCCGAAATCCCGATGAGTCCGGATTTTGGGCTTTGTACTGTATTACCTTCTGATGACCCAGTCAGATGGGGGAATCATTCCAGATCTGTGCCTGAACACTTCATGAATAGAAATAACTAGGTTGTATTTTGCCATGTGCAATGCATAGGAAACTTCTGCTCAAGAGTTGCCTTCTTGAACATTAGTATTATCATATGACACAGCAAGAAAGCAATTTTTCAGCATTACATTTTTAGTGTTAGCAAAATTGGTTTCATTGTTACCAAAATTTCCTTAATCACTCTTTTATCACTTAAAGCTATAAATTTGTGTACATAGCCATGTGAACTATTTGTATTGCTAACATTCTTTTGTGAATACATGTTATTTGAAATCACAGTCAGTGAATAGTGGATCATTTTAGATGAAAAGCTCTGAAGTAGTCATACAACCCTATCTGTCACTGTTTGATTTCCATTGGGTTCTTTAAAACTATTTCCTAAAACACGTAGATTCCAGTCAATGAATTAACTTCAAGCAACTGTAAATAAATGGTTCTTCTGGCAATCTTTCTTGTTTTTCAAAGTCATAAACAAACTTATACTACTATGTTAAGACATGGGTCTGAATGCAAGAGGTAATTATTCTGTTACATTATTGTAATTTTTTTACATATTAATCTGTTCGTTCTATGTTTCATATTACCTATGTTTTTTTTCAATCCAATTCGTGTTTCATTTGGGCAGTCCTTAATTTAGTAATATTAATCCTAGTTTTGTACATTCATTTACAAAGATTTTCCACATAGAGGCACAGAATTTTATGAGAACAACTTTAACATGAAGTGTAAGAGGGCTTTGCAAATACAAATGTAACTTCCCATTGAGAAAAACATTTCAATCATTAAAATATTTATAATTCTTTAATAAGTTAAATGTAGAACATTCCATAACCTTATAGAAATCACTAATATAGGTGCTATTAACACTTTACCGACTGCTAGCAGTTCAACAGCATATGCACGTCCGACCGACTGCAGATTCTCCCTAATAATAAAATGCAGATCATATAGAAAATGGCAATTGTTTATCGCCTTGGCTACGAATTAGTAGACTATTTTTAGGTAGCCCCAAGAAAAAAGTGTTTTATAGGCATATTGTTCAGTAGGCTTTGGCGAAAAAAAGCCGATTAATAGGCTGTCGGTCGATAGGCATTGGCGAAAAACAGCCAGTAAATAGACGATCGGTCGGTAGGCGTTGGCAAAAAAAAAGGCCAATTAATAGGCTATTGGTCGGTAGGGGTTGGCAATAAAAGCCGATAGGCGATCAGTCAGTAAAGTGTTAATATTTTTATGGACTCTGTTATAAATAATGAGTGCTGTTTTTGCCCAGTACAGGACGATTAATTGCCAAAATAAGCAACTTCTGTTTATAACTCCTTCCAGAATTGTGGCAAGATACACTTTTATAGGTAGTAGCAAGGAAAAATTATTTAAAGCAATACATTCATTTTGATGCATGAAATTTACATCTTAAGGTACAGATTTTTTTCCTCGCTAAATCTTTTTAATGCATAGTAAATATTTTAATTTTTGATTTAAGGAACCATATAAAAATGATTATTAATTGAAATTCTATCCAAGGAGAGCATATAAAAAGTGAAACATATTTTATACATTGACGTGCCACATACTTATTGAAATTAATCTCGTAAAATTCTGTACATTGTTTTAGCAATTTGTGTAACGAAAAGGACACTGCAGCTGTCTAACAAAATATGAAACAAAATACAGCTTTAAATCTCCTGTTTTGGGTGGCAGATCAAAAAATTTGTATTTTTTTGCCTTAAAGAGTTACAGCTTACAGCACCACCTGGGGAAAAATGGCAGAGTTAGCCTCCCTATCTCAAAAACAATATGTGTGTATTGAGAATATGGCAAAGCACACTAGGGCTATCTACATAAGGGGAGGGATGCCTTCGTTGAGAACTTTCTAAGGAAAACTGGCTGGTATACACGTTACACATGGGGAAAACCACGAAAACGCCCATGCAGCCAGCCCGTTCGCGGGATTCGAACCTCGGACCGAACTACCAGTGTTCAGCAATTTTACTTTTTACTGCTTGGCTGCTGGTGGGCCCAAAAAAAAAAAAAAAAAAAAAAAAAAAAAAAAACAATATAAGATAGGGAAGAAAAAGGAAATTACAAAGTTGTAGAGCATTGTAAACTTAGTACGTATAGACACTTTGTGAATATGAATGCTGAAAACGCACATTTGTTTCTTCACAATTTCAGAAACT